AAAATTACTGCAGATGGTGACTGCAGCCATGAAATTAAAAGGCACTTACTCCTTGGAAGAAAAGCTATGACAAACCTAGACAGCATATTAAAAAGCAGAGACATTACTTTGCCGACAAAGGTCTATCTAGTCAAAGCTATGGTTTTTCCAATAGTCACGTATGGATGTAAGAGTTGGAGCATAAAGAAAGCTGAGTGCCAAAGAATAGATGCTTTTTTGAACTGCGGTGTTGGAAAAGACTCTTGAGAGTCCCTTGAACTTCAAGGAGATCAAACCAGTCAATCCTAAAGGAAATCCATCCTGAATATTTTGGCCACCTGATGCAAAGAACTGACTCCTTAGAAAAGACCCCAATGATGGGAAAGATTGAAGGAAGGAGGAGAAGGGAACTAGATGGTTGGATATCATCACTGACTCGATGGACATGAGTTTGAGCAAGCTCTGGGAGTTGGTGAAGGACAGAGAGGCCTGGCGTGCTGCAGTCCATGGGGTTGCAAAGAGTCAGACACAACTGAGCAACTGAACTGAAAGTTTGAGAAGCACTAAAGCCCTGGTATAGACTGTGTTTCTCAAATTTTGCATATTAGAACCATATAGGGAGCTTCTAAAGTTCTGATGCCCCCGCTGCATCTTATGCCAAGTAAGTGAGAATACCTTGGGATGAAGCCCAGGCATGAGTATTTTTTTATTATGGTAAAATATACATAACATAAAATTTACTGTTTTCGCCACTTGTAAGTATTTGGTTCAGCGATATTAAATACACTCTCAAAAAAAATTTAAATAAATAAATAAATACACTCTGATTGTCATGCAAACATCACTACCATCCATCTCCAGAACTTTTCATCTTCCCAAACTGAAACTCCATAAGCATTAAACACTAACTTCCCATTCCCCTCTTCTCCCAGCCACTGGTAACCACCATCTACTTTCTGCCTCAATGAATTTGACTATTACAGGTACTTCGTATAAGTGGAATCATACAGTATTTGTCTTTTGTGACTGGCTTCTTTCACTCAGTATGATGTCTTCTAGGTTCATTCATGTTGCAGCATGTGTCAGAATTTCCTTTCTTTTTAAGGCATATCATATTCCATTGTAGGTATTTGCCACACTTTGGACATGTAGATTGATGGACACTTGGGCTCCTGTAACTTGCTTGTGGCTATGCTGAATAATACAGTTACAAACTTGGGTATACAATTATCTGTTTGAGTCCCTTCTTTCAATTCTTTTGGGTATATACCCAGAAATGGAATTGCTAGATCACATGGTAATTGTTTTTTGGACTTTTTTGAAGAACTGCTGCTACACAGCAGTTTTCCACAGCAGCTGCACCATTTTACAGTCCCATCAGCAATGCATACGGGTCCCAATTTCTCCACATCCTCACCAACAATTGTTATTTTCTGTTTTTTTTATTATAGCCATTCTAATGGATGCAAAGTGTTATCTTATTGTGGGTTTGAGTTGCATTTCCCTAATGATTAGTGACATTGAGCATCTTCTTATATACTTATTGACCAGTTGTGTATTTTCTTTGAAGAAATGTTTATTCAGGTCTTTTGAATTGGGTTCTTTTGATGTTGTTGAGTTACAGGAGTTCTTTATATATTCTGGATATTAATCCTTTATCAGATATATGATTTGCAAATATTTTCTCCTGTTCCATGGGTTGCCTTTTCACTCTATTGATAGCATCCTGTGATGCACAAAAGTTTTAAATTTGATGTAGTCCATTTAATCTATGTTTTCTTCTGTTGCCTGTGCTTTTGGTGTCATAGCCAAGAAATTATTTTCAGACACGGGTATTTTTTTAAAGCTCCTCAAGTGATTTCATTATACAGCTAAGGTTGAGCAGTGTGTCTCAAACTTTAATATGCATTTAGACCACCTGAAATCTTGTTAAAATGCACATTTTGATTTATTAAGTCTGGGGTAGAGCCCATGATTCTGCATATCTAAGAAACTCCTAGCTGATGCTTATGCTACTGGTGTGGGGACCACTGAACAGCCAGGGTATAGAGGAGCATCTCAGTGATTTCCTTCATCTGAGGCCTGAGATAGAGCGTGAATATTTGCCAGGCCTTTTCCTAAGTCTCCCACTATACCTGTTCCCCAGCAGGCCCTCAGCTGACCCTAACTTTCAACTGGTTCTGAGCAGCCCTGGTGAGTACACTAAGAGCCTTTGGCATAGCAGAAAAATGAGAAATAAAGGACCTGTTCTCCCCACTCCACTCTCAGCCCAGCCCCCAGGGGGAGACCATCCACTGGTCTGCCCCTGCCCAGTGCATTCACTTCCACGCTAATGATGGCCGGTTCCTGCCTGACCTCGGCCCCTGTAAGGAAACCACTGTAGAGCTCTGCTGAAAAGCTGTTTGGCTCAAAATATATTTATTAATAATACGCTCAGAAAGGAAAACCACACAGGTTGGTCTGAAGTTTATGGAAAAAGCTGGGGAGAAAAACTGCCGAAGGCCTGCTTCTAAAAAAAATTAATTATACCATCATAGAATTTTAGAGCCAGAAATGACCTTTAGAGATCTACTCCCAAACCCTCATTTTGGAGAAGAAAGCTGGCACCCAGTGAGGCTGTGACTTGCTCAAGGTCATCAAGCAAAATAGAGGTCAGCCCATAGGTGTGTTTTTCTTTTTAATCTAGCTTTAGGTTGCGTGTGTGCTAAGGCACTTCAGTTGTGTCCGACTCTTTGCAATCCCATGACCTGTAGCCCACCAGGCTCCTCTGTCCATGGGGAGTCTCCCAGCAAGAATACTGGAATGGGTTGCCATTCCCTTCTGCAGGGGATCTTCCTGACCCAGGGATCGAACCTGGTTCTCTTATGTCTCCTGCATTGGCAGTTGAGTTCTTTACCCACTGAACCACCTGGGAAGCCCAGGTTTAGGTTATTTATATGGAAATGGATAACACAGAGTAGCTACTTCTTTCAGATGGCTCCTTTAATTAAAGCTTTTACTTTTCAAAAAAAGATAAATCAAGAGGCTGGATTTTTGCCCTTCATGGCCTTCATTAGAAAATCTCTACCTGATGTTTATAATGACCCTAATAGGACCCTTATATGACCTACCACTCCCTGGTGGCAGTGACCGAAATTTCAGGTATTGTGCTGGGAGGAACTTAAGATCTTCTAGAAGGCATGCTCAGTACTGCTTTTCCTTCCGTGTCCATTGCAAATGTTGTAAGCTGTTCACAGTACTCTTTCAAGCCACTGCCAATCAGTTTGGCTGTCAAGCTGAAACTCATTTGCCACCCCTACACTAGAGTTCATACCTTGAAAAGCCCTGTGACCTTCAGATCCACCCTACATTTCAACATGTTTATACTGGTTATTAAACACTCTTTAGCTTCTCATTCCCCCACCCACCCCAGCTGCTCATTAATCCAATTATGACTTCCTTTTATCCAACCAAACTTCTTGCCAAGATGCAGAACTCTTGGAGTGATGTGTTTGCTTTTGGTGATTAGACAGCGCGGTAGATGATGCTGTCATGTTCAGACATCTCTGTAATTGGGACTGACCTCACTCTGATCGTGCAACACCCAGCATGTGCCCTCTGAACACGGTGCAAGAACTTCCTTCCCAGGAAGGCTCGCCGAGGTTAGTTTCTATGCTGCAGTTGGAGCCCTGCCCCTATGTCTCTCTCCAGCCTCTCCAGTGAGGCATTAGAGGGGCTTCTGAATCACATTTCGCTCTGAAGACAGTGCCTGGGCCTTTCATTTTGATCTCTGGGTTCTGAACTGGAGAAAGCTCCTATGCTGGCAGGAGTGTCTGTCTCCATCTGGGGAGTCAGTCTTCAGATCCTCTCTTCATTAAGACGTCAGCTTCACTCAGCCTTGCTCTTGGCTGCCAGACGCACTGACAAGCCAGCAGGAAAAGCTCCATCAGGAAGAGGTGTGCCACCCTCTGAAGGTGCTGCTTTGCCTGTGGGGCTGGACCTGTGTAGACGTCGTAGGACTTGTCCCAGGGGAGCCTTTGGAGCACTTTGTGAGCTGTGATTCTAAGCCTGCAGGCATCATCTCAGGGTGGTGCCATCTGTAGTGTTCTAAGTGTCTTCACTGCTCATGCAGGAGAGGGTGGAGTCCTTCCACTTCCTTGGCCATTCTCATCTGTCTCCTGGGTGGCTGCCACCAGCTCCCATAGCCCCAGGCTGTTTGGCAACACCCTGAGTTATGTTAGAGATATAATAATGAATTATACAATGGAGTATACATAATTAATTTATAATAAAACACACACAATGGTTTAATTTCTCCGAGTGAATGATGTGCCGCCCGCCAGTTCCTGCCAGGATACATTCCATAACTGACTGCTTCCTGGTCTGGAGGAGACGGCCAGTGGCCCTAGGGAGGGACCCTGGCAGGGGAACCTTCCAAGTCACAGATTCTGTCTGGGTTACCCCTGGGGTCGGTCCCACACAAGGCTAATCCTTTACTTTCTCTGCTATTGTTCTAAACGTGAACCTGCACGGGGGGTCTCACCTGCCCCTGGATCATTTGAGATCTGTTATTTTCTTCTTTCTCCCAGAGCATGAAAGATGCAAGTGTATTTCTCCCTCCTTCCCTCCCTTCCCCCCCGAATATGTGTTGAGTGTCTCTTATGTGCCAAACACTGTCCTTGGCTTGATGTGCATCCATGAACAAAACAGACAACGATCCTTGCCCTGGTGGAGCTTATGTTCTAGTGGAGGGAGAGAGACACTAAATAATAAAACATGATGAATGAGGAAATCACCTGGCATGTTATACAGTGATAGACACTGTAGAAAACGAAAAGGCAGAGGAGCATAAGGGTGACCTCAGTGATGGGGGCAGGTCACAGTTTGAAAGAGCATAGCCAGGATGGGTCTTGTGGAAAAGTGGCAGCCTAGGGGTTGCCAAGCCCTCCAGGAAGCGGGAAGAAAGGCACTTGTGCGCCAACCTGCGATTCGATTTTCCTGGGCTGCTTTCGGTCAGTAACGTTTGTAACTTCTGGTTTCAGATGTTCCAGGTGTTTCTATTCCTGCTGCTGCTGTGGTTTCTGCCCCTGACTGAGGGGTCCCAGCGGGCTGAACCCATGTTCACGGCAGTCACCAACTCAGTCCTGCCCCCTGACTACGACAGCAACCCCACCCAGCTCAACTACGGAGTGGCAGTGACTGATGTGGACCGTGATGGGGACTTTGAGATCGTTGTGGCTGGGTAAGTGCCTCCCACCTTGAGTTTGACAGATATATCAGTCAGCTTTTGCTACAAGAGGGCCGGATAACAAATAACTCCAAGAACCCAGTGGCTGGCAACAACACACATTCTCACTCACATTGGTCTTGGCTGGGCTCAGCTGGGGTCTGGTAGGCTGCGTCCTTGCTCTTTTGCTGTAGCAGTGAGTTGGGATGGAGGTAGACTGGAAGAAAGGGGTTTGATCCACAGGCTTTCCAGAGAGATTTGAATGCTGTGCTTCAAGGCCTTCTGTTCATCTTTCAGCCACCTTAGTTATGCCAGTGTTACTTCCTTACCAATGAGACTCTAGAATCTCTATATAGGAGGGGCTTGAGGGTAACAGTTATGATAGAGGGGGATGCTCAAAGTTGCCTTTGCATGGCATTTTACACAAAATTAAGAAATCATTAATTGCCTGTTTCAGAGAAGGGGGAAATACGGGGATGAAGAGGGATGGCTAAACTCCCTCTAAACCATGCCTTGGTACCCCTGCTCCCTTCTCTCCTGAGAAGCAACACTGTGTAGCAAGAAAAGATTTGAGTTCATGCCCTAGATCTACAGCTTTCTAGTTGCATGACTTTGAGTGAGCCCCTTGTGCCCTGAGATTCAGATGTATCATCTGCAAAAATGGGGATAGCAATGCACCTCCTTGTCCTGTTAAAAGCTTTAACAGGCTATTGCACATGATGGTTCATTGTAAATTCTGCAAGTTGCCATTAATAATCATTATTTATGGAGCACAGATATGTGCCAGACACTGTGCTAAGCCTTTCACATACACTGTCTTATCCTCCTGACAACACTATGAAGTAAATATACAAGAAGAGGAAATTACAGTTCAGAGACGGTGAGTGATTTGCCCTCCATCAAGTAAATAGTAAGAGGGTGAGTCAGGTTTGAGCCCCAAGGCTCCCTAACTATAGAGCTGCTAAAGTACATTGTACAAAGTTTAGTTATCACTTCAAAAATCAGCCAATCAATAAAAAACACAACAGGGGCCTGTCAACCTCATTCTGGAAGGCCAGAGTTTTTATGGCCACACTGAACAAAGTAAATGGCAAGCAACATTATTTGTAGCCGTTGCATGTAACAGTAGAAAGCGTTGACTTTGGAACCAGAAAACCTGGTTTTGATCCTGTCCCATCCAATAGTTGTGTTCCATGTGCAAATGACTTAAAGTGGGGAAAGCTCCACTTTCCTCATCTGTAAAATGGGTATGTTGAAATCTACCCCCACCTACCACACATGGTGAGGATCAGTGGTAATGACGTATAGACAAGATACTTTGTAAGTGCATTTCTTCCTTTTTTTATTCTACCCCAAAAAGAGTAGAAATTCATAGATTCTAGGTTCTCCTGGAAGTCTAGATTACTGGCTGACAAACAACTTTCTATGATGATGTAGAAGTTCTATGTTGGTTCTGTCCAATATAGTGTCCATGGGCATGAGACTGTTGAGCACTTGAAATGTGGCTACTGTGACCAAGGAACTGAACTTTATTTCATTGTAACAGCACAGCTCTGGGACATCAGAAGAAAAAACTAAAGAGCAGAATGTGATAGAAAAAGGAAAAACAGAAACAGTTGTAATGATTCCCTTATTACCAGATCCCCCTTTTTTTTTTTTTAATTTTTTTCATTTATTTTTATTAGTTGGAGGCTAATTACTTTACATCATTGCAGTGGGTTTTGTCATACATTGAAATGAATTAGCCATGGATTTACATGTATTCCCCATCCCGGTCCCCGCTCCCACCTCCCTCTCCACCCGATCCCTCTGGGTCTTCCCAGTGCACCAGGCCCGAGCACTTGTCTCATGCACCCAACCTGGGCTGGTGATCTGTTTCACCCTAAATAATATACGTGTTTCGATGCTGTTCTCTTGAAACATCCCACCCTCGCCTTCTCCCAGAGTCCACAAGTCTGTTCTATACATCGGAGTCTCTTTTTCTGTTTTGCATATAGGGTTATCGTTACCATCTTTCTAAATTCCATATATATGTGTTAGTATACTGTAATGGTCTTTATCTTTCTGGCTTACTTCGCTCTGTATAATGGGCTCCAGTTTCATCCATCTCATTAGAACTGATTCAAATGAATTCTTTTTAATGGCTGAGTAATATTCCATGGTGTATATGTACCACAGCTTCCTCATCCATCCATGTCCTGGCTATTATAAACAGTGCTGCGATGAACATTGGGGTGCACGTGTCACCAGATCCCCTTATTACCTGTGCAGGGTTGGGGCCAGGCAGCTTGTTTGTGTTCAGGTCAGTGGCTGTCCAGTGACTGTCTAAATCCAAAAAAAGTCTTCTTGGCCAAATCCTGCCAACTGGAGCCTGTTACCTGTGCAGGGTTGGGGCCAGGCAGCTTGTCTGTGTTCAGGTCAGTGGCTGTCCAGTGACTGTCTAAATCCAAAAAAAGTCTTCTTGGCCAAATCCTGCCAACTGGAGCCTGTGCCACTGCACCAGGGTCTCTGGGTCAGGGGCTGTGATGCACTCCTGAGATGTTCTGGTTGGTCCTGCCTCCTGCCAGGTGGTACCAGCCTCCCTCTGGTAGGCACTGGGCACCAGAGGACAAAGAACAGTGAGGCAACTTCCCTGCTTCCCATCCTTCCCTCCTCTGGGGCCTCTACAAGATACTGTGATGAGCAGGCTCTCCTTTCATCTTGGATGATGGGCCACCAGCTCAGATTTCCATTCCCACCCATCCTTTGAGGTGCAGGGGATGGTCACTGCATCTCCTGAGCATCCTGCTCTTTGCTTTCCCAGTGCTGGGCATTCACTTCATCCTCTCTTTCTTTTATTTTTTAAATACTTTTTAAAATTTGTTTATGTGTTTGTTTTATATTTTGCTGGGACTTCACTGCTGTGAGGGCTTCTCTGTAGTTATGATGAGCAGGGCCTACTCTCTAGTTGCAGTGCATGGACTTTTCATTGCTGTGGCTTCTTTTGTTGAAGACCATGGACTTTAGGGTGTTCAGGCTTCAGTAGTTGTAGCATGTGAGCTCAGTGGTTGCAGCTCCCAGACCCTAGAACAGGGGCTCAATAGTTGTGGCACACAGGTTTAGCTGCTTCACAGTACGTGGTATCTTCCTGGACCAGGGATTGAAGCCATGTCCCCTGCACTGACAGGCGGATTCTTTGCCACTGAGCCACCAAGGAAGCCCTTCCCTTTCCTTCATGTTTATTTGTCTGGTCTTAGCTGTGGCATGCAGGATCTTAATTGCCGTGCTCGGGCTTATCTCCAGTTGTGACACGTGGGCTTCGTTGCCCTGTGGAATGTGGGATCTTAGTTCCCTGACCAGGGATCAAACCCACATCCCCTGCACTGGATGAAGGATTCTTAACCACTGGACCACCAGGGAAGTCCCTGAAACTTTTTTCACTTTCTGTGCCAAGGAACTCAATGAATTTTCTTTTGTGTCTTCTATGGTAGAGAAGCTAGATCATCTTTCATAGGCAGTTTAGAGTAGATGTCTAAACCTTGTCCAGCTTGCTGCTTCCTATGGGGCCTGCAGCACTTTGGAGTCATCCTCCAGAAAAGCAACCCAGACCATCCTGAGTCAACCATAATTCAGGGAAAGACTGTGCTAGGCGGCTCCTAACTGAGAAAGTTTGGACTGCTGGGTGTTCTAGCAAAGGGCTTCCCAGGTGGCATTAGTGGTAAAGAACCCGCCTGCCGATGAGAATCCACATAAGAAATGCAGATTCTATCCCTGGGTTGGGAAGATCCCTTAGAGTAGGGCCTGGCAACCCACTCCAGTATTCTTGCCTGGAGAATCCCATGGACAGAGGAGGCTGGAGGGCTACAATCCATAGGGTCGCAGAGTCATACAAGACTGAAGCAACTTAGCATGCATGCATGCACCCCCAGCAAAGAAGAAGAGTTGCATGGAGGGCAGGATGGCGAAATTGGGCAGCCTCCCAGCTCTAGGTCAGGCCTTCTTTGTGGCTGTTATGAAGCATTGTGAATTCTCAGAGCGTCAGAAAGACACGTTCTAATTTAAGTACCAAAATACATTCCAAAGGCAAATATAACTTTTTATTATCTTCAGCTCAGAATGATTTGTCACTGTCTTTCTTCTTTGGGCTGGATAACCAGGAGTTGACTATACAGACATTATTAAATCAGGACCTTGGGAGGTCATTCGGTCCACCCCTTGCCTTCCAGTAAGGTCACACCTATGGTTTTTGGAGGCTCCATTTACTTAAAGCCTTTCAAGGGAATGTATGAAACCTTTTCATAATCCAGCTCAATTACTTATGTTAAAAAATCTTTCTGATTAATCTAAATCCTTCATATTTGAGCTTAGTAAGCCATTTCTTTTAACTTTTGCTTTGCTATTATTACCTTTGAAGATATAAACCAAGTAAGTGGTCACTACCCTTTCAAATAATGACAGCTAGGATCATTGCTGTGCCTTTCATGCCCTGTGGACTCCTTGGCAGTGTTTCTGATTTTGACTTTTATTCAGTTTCATCCACCCTACACCCATATTTGGGGTTTCACTGATGGCTCCGGCAATAAAGAATCTGCATGTAATGTGGGAGACCTGGATTCATCCCTGGGTCATTTGGGAAGATACTCTGAAGAATGGAATGGCTACCAACTCCAGTATTTTTGCCTGGAGAATTCCATGGACAAAGAAGCTTGGTGGGCTACAGTCCATAGGGTCACAAAGAGTCGGACATGACTGAGCAACTAACACACACCCATATTTAACTCTGCTTCTCTGTTTGATGGTAGAGGCTGTTTAGGAATCACATAGCAGGAACTGAAACTTTAAAAAATGGAATGTGAATGCCCTTATGTGGGCACCTGGGGTCCAGCTCTGAGAGGCCCACTCTCTATTATCTTACAGACTTTTCCATTAGCCGGCCTCTGAAGGCATCTGCGTTTCAACCCCTGGGATAATGGCCAGCTCTTCAGTTTATAAGACGTGCTCTACTTGAACTTGTCTTGGATTTGTTGACCTTGTAG